ATACATATAAACTGATGAAAATCAGAGATAATACCCATAAAAAACAAATGAAAATCAGAGATCATACCCATAGATAAAATGATAAAAATCAGAGATCATACCCATAGACAAATTAATGAAAATCAGAGATCATACTGATAGAAAAATTAATGAAAATCAGAGATCATACCCATAGACAAATTGATGAAAATCGGAGATCATACCCATAGACCAATTGATGAAAATCAGAGATCATACCCATAGACCAATTGATGAAAATCAGAGATCATACCCATAGACCAATTGATGAAAATCAGAGATCATACCCATAAAAACTGATGAAAATCAGAGATCATACCCATAAAAACAGATGAAAATCAGAGATCATGCCCATAAAAACAGACGAAAATCAGGGATCATACTGATAGACAAATAGATGAAAATCAGAGAACAAATCAATAGACAATTTGATGAAAATCAGAGACCATACCCATAGATAAATTGATGAAAGTCAGAGATTATACCCATTGAGAAATTGATGAAAATCAGAGATCATACTCATAGACAAATCGATGAAAATCAATGATCATAGCCATAGACAAATTGATGAAAATCAGAGATCATACCCATAAAAAACAGATGAAATCAGAGATCATACCCATAGACAAACTGATGAAACTCAGAGATCATACCCATAGACAAAATGATGTAATTCATAGATCATACGATAGACAAATTGCTGAAAATCAGAGATCATACCCATAAAAAAACAGATGAAAATCAGTGATCATACCCGTAGACAAAACTGATGAAAATCAGAGTTTATACCCATAGACAAATTGATGAAAATCAGAAATCATACCTGTAGACAAACAGATGAAAATCGAAGATCATACCCATAGACAAATTGATGAATATCAGAAATCATACCGATAGACTAATTGATGAAAATCAGAGATCATACCTATAAAAAGTAGATGAAAATCAGAGATCATACCCATAGATAAACTGATGAAAATCAGAGATCATACCCATAGACAAATTGATGAAAATCAGAAATCATACCCATAGACAAATTGATGAAAAAACAACTCTGAAACTTATATCTAGATTTACAAAAAATTTAGAAACTGTGTGGCTATAGAATTGAAGGTAAGTAAAACTAATCGTTTCCATGATTCGTTTTCAGTCTAACCTCAACATAAAGAAAACCAACTATGATCTGGCATAAAATCTCTTATTAGGTAGAAAAACCCTATTATATTATCAATAATATTAAAGTAAACATAAATATCTCTTTCAAAGAGGAGAGTAACAAAACAAGGGGCGTTCACTCTTGATTAATTATAACACTCCTCTTGATTACTTCTCTAATAAAAATACAAAATCTTTATTTCTTACTCATCTTACACATTTGGAAGTTAAATTATTGAAAATTCTTGGATCTTTTATTTCTCAACCTCTTGCTCAACTTATTAAGCTCTCCTTCCGCCAAGGTATTTTTCCTACTAAATTAAAAACAGCCAAAGTTTTTAAACATGGAGACTCAGCATTACCATCACGCTGCAGGCCGATTTGTCTTCTACCAATATTTAGTAAAATAGTTGTAAAAATAATGTACCAACGTCTCTATTCTTTCCTCAACTACCGCAAATTTATTTATTCTTTGCAATTTGGATTTCAAGTCAAACACTCTATTGAACATATTTTGATAATCATGACTGAGGCGATAAGATCCGCATTGAATCGAGGACAGATTGGATGCGGGGTTATTATTGACTTTCAAAAGCGTTTGATACCATGAAATCTTCTTTTCAAAACTTTATCATTATGACATCAGAGGAAATGTTCTTAACTGGTTTAAATCATAAATATTTGATAGAGATCAATACGTTTCAATTGGTAATATTATTTCAAATTCCCGTACGATTGCATGTGGTGTACCACAGGGTTCAGTCCTTGACCCCCTGCTTTTTTTCATCTTCGTTAATGATTTACCAAATGTATCAAAAAGGTTAACATATTACTTATTTGCTGCTGATACTAACATTTATTGTAACTCGGAATTTATTCAAAACTGTTAATTCTGAACTCAAAGCTGTTAAAAAGTGGCTCGATATTAATGAATTATCACTCAATATAAATAAGACTAGTTATATTATATTTCATTTTCCATACACAAACATTTTCTTTGATGGTATAATTAGGATTGGTAAAGGATGCATACAGAGGGTAAAATTTGTTAGATTTTTAGCTGCACTTTTGGCGGGTAACCGGAACTGGAAATACCATCTCAGTGAACTTGCAAAAAAAAAAAAAATTAGCAAGATCTTGTGTTATATTCTTTAAAATAAGAACCACGCTTCCATACAATATTCTTGTATGCCTATACAATGCTTTTTTGCAATACCGAATAATAGTGTGGGGTCAAACTTTTCCCTCCTATCTTGATCCTATTTCCAGACTGCAGGAGTGAATGTTTAGAGCTATTTCTTATCGGCATGGTTTCTTAAACTCTCTGTCTATCCCCCAAAATAAAAACAAAAGTATTTAGAATTTAGAAAATATGTAAATTAAAATTACTAACTTTTGTGCATGAGTGTATTAACAAAATCTCCCCCTCTTGTTTTCCCAACTACTTCTCTCTCAGTTCATCTGTTTATCAATATCCAACAAAGCTATCTACCCATGGAGGCTTGCTTTTGAAGCATAATAATATTTTACAATATGGCTTGCGGCCAGTTCGCTATCTAGGAGCTAAGCTGTAGAACACTTTATCTGTTTCGATTACTATTTCTCCTTCCAAACATTTTTTAAAAAGAAACTTTAAAAAGATTCCAGTAGACTCATTGAAGGGATTCCTGGAAGCCCATCCTTTAAAGTAATACCTAAAATTGTTCTCACGAGAGAAGGGCTTTATCTATATAAAATATGTGTGCTTCTGTTTTCTTTTTTAATTGGTCAGTGGAAAATGTCATGATGCCATTACTAACCTTAGGTGTCTGGGCGGGACCCAGAAAGAAATTTGAACACACCAGAAACCAAAGGAAATAATAATAATAATAATAATAATAATAATAATAATAATAATAATAATAATAGATCTACAATTGATTTTGTAATTAATAAACTTCATAATTAATTACGTAACAAGGACTATAATTAGATCCACAGTCGTGTATTTGATTTTACTTTACATTATTTTATTAAACGAGTTATTGTATAAAGGGGCTTTCTTCTCGTTAATTCACCTACTTAGGGAGACCTTCACCTCCTTTAAACTAATTGCATGCACATATTTTAATAATTGAGTTAATAATAATTAATATTATAAGTATAATTGCTGTATTTACTGTAAAATATTGTTGCGAATAAATATCTTCTTGTGATAAAGAGAAGAGGGAAAAAATCTTTTGTTAAATGTGATGCCATAGTGAAATAATGGCGCTTGTTTAGTTTTGATTGCCATGTCTCTTTAATTTTATAATTTTATATTTATATTTTTATATTTGTTATTTATATTTGTTGCCGATTGTTACACTCACCGGGTTCATCGAATTTATTGAATTTTCTTTTAATCAATTTACCCCCAAGTAAAGCGATAATGCCATTAAGACACAAGGGTCTACTGGGTGTGAAAGAGAAATAAAAAAGACTTTAGAAGCAACTGAAAAACCCGATTCTAAATAGAGAACAAGGGATAAACTGTTCCTGTTGAAAAGAACCAGTGGGCGGGAGTGGAGTGAGAACTGAAATCCTACTGAGAGAAAGAAAAAAGGTAAGAAAGAAATAGTAAATAAAATTTCAGTGTTCAGGCGAATATGTTAGAAGCAGGAGAAGCAATGGGAAGAACTCGGTAAGAAATAAAACTCTGGTGGATAATCTACGTCCTGGAGATACAGGGTGTTTCACAAATCAGCAGTCTCTCAGATGAGGAGAGTACGAGGAGTATGAGCACTTTGATGAGGAGCAACAGTGGTTCCAACAGGATGGTGCTTTTCTTCAAACTGCTAATGTTACCATGGAATGGCTCCGTGAAAAGTTTGGAGAGCGTTTCATCAGCCGCAAAGCTCAAGTGAAATGGGAAGCTCACTCACTAGACCTGACCCGCCACCCCCCGCGCCAGATTTCTTTCTCTGGAGGTTTCTCAAGGACAACATCTTCCAGGGCAACCATCGCATCATTGCTGCATTGAAGGCAGCCAGCACTGAGAAGAATCAAGCAATCGCCCAGGATGAATGTTCATGCGTTATCAACAACTTTGCATTCAGCTGAATGGTGGACATCTGGAGCATGTAATCTAGAGCTCCTCTTGACATTTTGGGCTCATGTTTGAGACTAAATGGTTGCAGATCCTAAAATGCTATTCTTTTACCTTTCAATAAATGCAATTTCTATTACTCTATCATTTGTGGTCCTTGATTTGTGCCCAATCATTTTGTTTCAAAAACCGTGAAATACCCTGTACTATCTGCTATTACGCTTTATAACCAACTTTGCATTCAACATTGTCTTCAACTGAACGGCGGACATCTGGCGCATGTAATCTAAGGCTCCTCTTGATATTTTTGGTTCAGGTTTGAGACTAAATGGTTGCAGATCCTAAAATGTTATCCTTTTACCTTTCAATAAACGTAATTTCTTTTATCTTTTGAAGTCCTTGATTAGTGCCGTTTTATTTAAAAAAAAAACATGAGGTTTCTAAATATATCTTTGCTAATTGTTACTTTTAAATTCCGGTCTTTCACGTTTTCGATCTTTCACTTCCCAGCTTCGTAAGACTTACGATATTGAGTCCCCCCCCCACGAGGGTGTCATGTGGCACAAGGCCTTTTTAACGTGAGCATTCCGAGCCCGTGGGCTCGGCCAAAAATATGCCTATTGAACCCGTATATACGGGTTCAGGGCCGGTTTTACCTCCCCGAAGGAGACTCCGCCCTTCGGCGTAGCCTCCTTCGGGTTCCGTAGGAAGAGAGTTCAACCGAGCAGTCGGTTCAAAAGTGAACGACTGACGCAAGACTTACGGCCACGTCACGTTTAAATTCCGGTTCCCAAACGATCCCCGTGGTTAAGCAACGTCAAGCCTTGTTAATACCTAGATGAGTGACCGCTTGGGAATATTAGGTACTGTAAATTTGGATTTGAGTGTGGTGTAAAAGATAATGGCTCGGATGTTTAAGTTGGGCTCGTTATATTCACTGACGCGCAAATACCATTGGGAAAGGCATAAACTCTAATCTTCAACTCCCGCTATGGGTTAATTAGTAATATTTGTATCACTAAACCATTATTATCTCCAAAAATAAAATATTATTGCTTTCAAAATATAGCTTTCGGCATTAAATAACGCAGAGGTTGATATGGCGCTAAACAAAGTCAATCAACCAACCAATCAGCTTCGTAAACATCTATGAACGTCACACACTTATATCATATCTTAAGATATTTTTTCAGTTTTTGTTGCCAGTACAAGGAATTTGATTTGATTTTACGGTTTATCAACCCCCTATGAGTTATTTAAAACCGAATCATATTTTGGTCTGTATGAATAATTTTAATTTTATTTTTTGCGAGTGAATAATACATTATACACAAATATTTTTTAGCAGATATAAATCCTACTATTTAGCCCATAGCTCGGAGGGGAAATGAATTTATAGCCTGTTCAAGGGTATTTGCCCCTAAGTGAATGTAATGAACCCGACAGAAATTCGAACATGGCTCTCCGAGTTATCAGTTACATTACATACGCGTCCTTCGTACTGGAGGAACACGACTAAAAAAATATACTATAATTAGTTTAAATAGATAGTGAATGCTAATTATATACGAGTGGACCTGTTTTGTATATAACTCGGTACGCGCGCTAGTGCATATGCAAACATTTGTGTATAAATCAATCTTGCACGTAAATACCAGTGCGGCCATACTAAACAAATTTGGTTTTGTTATTTAAAATGTATCTCTTCCATAATGCTTAACAGCTCACAAGTAGAAAAATTCCCAGAATACATTGCAATCAAGTAAGCTGAACGGGAAAATGTTAGTTCAGAAGCGATTAAATGATGGTTTGTTAGTTTCGACTACGTCTATTCTTTGAATGTAGCCACGAATAAAATGGGTTAGAAATTCATAATTTTCATTTTACGGATTCATGCAATACCTGCCAGTGTTTGCATCTGGGCCTTTGTAGATTTGCAATACGTAAATTGTCAGGCTCGATCCCCAAGAGCCAATTATTCTATATCTACGAAGATAGTATTCAAATCAAATTATCTTGTCTCTGAAATGCAGAAAATCGAAGCCATATTGGAATAACGAAAGATGCCTCCAAGAATTTATTTTAAACAAATTACTAAAAGACAGGAAAATTTGGCCCGAAACAAAAAAACGGGCTGAATTATTATGAAATGCATATCCTCCAATATGGCAGCGAATGCTGAAAGACTGTAATCAACACTTATCGTTCTACAGAAGGATGCTGATAATGCCATGTACGGAGTACATGATCAGTAAGCAAGCTTTTTTTAAAATGAGAACTAAAAGGAAAGTTATACTTAAAATTAGAAACAAGGAACTGAAATTTATTAAATAACAATGAGGAAACAGGGATTAGAGAATTTATGACCCACAGGATAATTGATGGATTTTATTTTTACGACTCATATTTTGGATTGTAAAAATAATTCTTGATTATTGCATTAAGAATTTAAAAAATAACAATGATGTTTTCTCTATTGTTTATAACCAAAATAAAATTATCAAACAAGTGATGAGAACTCCCCCCCCGTGATACCCACAAAATATTGAATCCTTTAGAAGTTGTATTTCAAGTCAAATATTTTTTCAAATGAAAACTAAAGGACAGTTATACTAAACATTAGACAGATGTAGCTGAAATTAATTAACACGTAATGAGGAAACAGGGATTTGGAGAATTTAACACTCACATGATGGATTTCATTTTTACGACTTATCAACCCTTTGTGGTTATGTAAATCCGAATCGTATTTTGGATTGTAAGAATAATTTTCTTTTCTTTGACTCAATAGTGCATTAACGTTTTTTTTTATCGAATAACAATGATATTTTCACAACAAGTATTTGAAGAGATTGTTTATACCGAAAGTAAGGACCTACGTACATCAAATTGTATTTAAATTAAATGGCGGCAGAAGAATTAATTGAAGTTTTATAAGGTAATCTTAAATATTAATGCAATACTTAAATGCAGTGGTCAATTTTAAGTTCTTCTGTTGATTATTCTTGCCGATCGCACCTACACCTCCTTACCTATTGTGATGACGCCCAATCAAGAGCCATCCGCAGGAGCGAGCTGTAATGCCGCCCGATAGACAGGCTTTTAATCTAGTATAGTTTTCTCAGCTAAGTTTGGCCTGATACAAGGATTCCACCTCAGGTGTTCCTTGTATCATTTGCTAGCGAAACTAGATAATAATTATACCACGAACAAATTGTTTATACTTAACTCAGTAGTGCCTGGTACAAATGAATGGGTGTTGAACAGCCACTTATACTGTATAAGTAGTAATATTTTGCTAGATGATTGTGCTATTTCATATATAAATGACTATGGACGAAGCTTAACTTAGTTTGACACAAGGCTGCAAATGGGGAAGTTCATTATTAAGAGGCTATTCATGGTAGAGAGTGATAAAATTGCTGCAACTCTGAACCTATGTGGTAAAGGAAATCGAGAAGAAAGGATTCATTAGCAATTGTTAGAAGACAGAATGCATGGTCGTTAGCAAGTACGGTTACCTAAGATACGAGCTACTAATTGAAGACGTCAAAATCAAGTAAGTGCATAAATTATCTATATGCAAAGTGGGAAGCGTGATAACAGACAATGGAATATGCTAAACAGAAATTTGATGACGCATTGGAATTGTGAAAGATGCATTCTAAAAACAAGACAAAATATAAAAATACGAGGATTTTTCCATAGAAACAATGAAAAGTCTTTTGAACTACTACCTAACACTCACCTACGTCTATAACAGAGAATGATATACACGTTGCACCCAGATCTAAAGAAGACTTGAGACAGGGGAGATATGCTCCCAGAGAAAGATGCTTTGGACATCACAGAGGGAGCACGTTTTAAGGAAAATCGTAACAAAAAGCACACTTGTACATAGAATAAGAAAGTGAAATTTCTCGGAGACAAAAAGGCGAAAAGAGTACTTAGAGAATATGAAACTCAGAGGATTTAAAACTCCTCTTCTACGTATCGTGTCCCTTCAAGACGTGGGCGATCATTGCTCACCGCAAATTCCTATTCTTTGTAGCGCTTAATAAATTGTCTTTTAGTTAAAACTTGTTCCGTCATCCATTTCCTCAAACTCACTAGGTAGGTTATGCGTTGTTTTCCTCAGTTCCTCTTGCCTTCAGACTTTCCTGTGATTATCGAATTTTCTCCGCCTGCTTTCCTCATTACGTGCCCTATAAATTTCACTGTCCCTTTCTGATGTTAAATATAAGTGTCCTTTTTGTTTCAACTGTCTCTAAAACTTTGCTGTTTCATGATATTCTCAGCATCCTTCTGTAGAACAGCAGTTCTATGTTTCAAGTCTCTTTTTCATTCGTGAGAAAGACCCAGTGGATAGAATTATACTGTGAGTGATCTACCTAGTTAGTTTTTTGTTTATGGATCGTTAACAGTATCTATTTTTTAAATTAAACTTCTATCAGGTTCTGGGTCGTTTGGTGTGGTCGGCTGACTATACAAGGCGAAGCATTTCATCCGGGTATTCGTATTCGTTGATTAGCACCAAAGTTAAGAGAGATGGCTGGTAAAGTCAGTTGTTGCCGAAGACTGTTTATTCCATTTTTTTTAGTCACACAGGTGACATGGCAGAAATGGGCTGGTATGGATAATAATGCGAAAGGCCTTACTACTAATGAGAGGTGTTTGTGGAGAGGCAAGAAAAAGCAGAGGAAGACGTTGAGCTCACAAATAGCTACAGCTCAATCTGATGTCTGATACTAAACCAGTAGAGTATTAATGCAATGGTTCACTTGCAAACCTACCACGTGCCGCGCGCGGATGCGATCATATATATAATATACAGAAACTGAAGAAGCCTAACGGAACACCCAAACTGCAATATAACAAACTCCTGAGCGACCCGTACCTGAAAGAAAAATATATGGACAGTGTGAAAAGAAGATACGAGAAACACAATGGAAATGGAAACTTGAAATTGGACGCACTAGGGAGAAGCTTTAGTGACATCAGCAAACGATATGAACCCAAAGGAAAATGGACGAAGAAGAAAAAATGGTGACTGATGAGATTCTCGACGTGGTGCAAAGTAGACAGAAAACTCTGCCAAAATACGGAACGGAATTCAAAACATACACAACGAAATAAGGATTAAACAGAAGCAGGTTAAAGAAGAGTGGCTAAACAACAAAAAAATGTGCAGAAATAGAGAGATTGAGTACTACCAACAAAGGAGATATGCATAAACAAATAAGCGAACTATCAGGACAGAAAACAGGCTGCTTAAAATCAAAGGACGGAACGCTCTTTTTAGGAAAAATTCTTCAGAGCTGGACCGAATATATTAGAGAACTTTTCCACGACGAAATAGAACAGCCAGCAATACGCAGAACTTCTGACAGACATGAAATTCTAAAAAGCGAAGTAGAAGCAGCATCAGCGAAATTGAATAGAAACAAGGCGGCAGGGCCAGACGGAATTGTAACAGAAATGCTGACAGCCTTAGATGATTTAGGCATAGACAAGATTACAGAAATAATACATGAAATCTACAACAGTGGCGATATACCGGAAGTTTTACAGCAGATCTATTTTCATAACACTACCTAAGAAACCAGGCGCAAACGAATGTGAACAATCAGCCTAATGAGTCACATAACAAAACTCATCACCCTTGTTCTGATGAATAGAGCGTACAGCAGACTCAGGCCAGAGATAAGACAAGAACAGTGCGGGTTCGTTAAAGACACCGAAACAAGAAAGGCGATATACATGCTTAGAATATTATCAGATAGAGCAATAAAAATGAAGAAAGACATATATCCCTGTTTTATAGACTACACAAAAGAGTCCGATGAATACGCCACAAAAATCTGTTACAAC